ATTTCTCGTAGGTTACATATTTGTGATAAAGCTTATTCGAGCCAATGCCTAACAAAATGAATTTTGATCAGGTTTATCATCTTCAAGACAAAATAACAGTTGGGCTAACTTTTCTCGCCTTTGTTTCATAAGCGATTGTGTAATTGTGAACGATATTCATCATTTTTATCAATGGCGCAACATGACCTTAATGATGAACGCAAGGTGTTCAAAACTGAATGTTACATTATGTTCTCAACATAACGTGTTCTGGCGTAGTGACGTAAGATACGCACAAGCATTGTGTCCAAAGGCAAAAACATCAGATCTTTGTGGTCGAATGCAAGTTTGAAGAATATTCATCAAGCGGTAGTAGCAAATTTTAATGCTGAAAAACAGTCATGGCAATATTATCACTATTGTTTCTCATATTATAGGGATATATAAGTTAGTCATTTATCTCCACTTACGACTAACTAGGCCTACTACCTGCTAGCCTAGCTTGATAACCTAGATCTTTATTCCATATACGCGTCATGCGCCATCCGTCATGCGTTAAAAATCGAAATGGTTGGTTTAAGAGGGTATGATTCCATATATTTGGAAGCCAAATGGTCTCCGTCGTGCGTCAAAAAAAAATCGCCATGTGTAGCGATTTTTGACGCATCCGGGCGCCTTTTACGCGGAGATCTCCCAAATTTTTCGTATTTTGTGGGGATTTCCTGTCTTTTTTATGCACCAAAGCATCCATCTGTCTGGAAGTCCGTGCGTCAAAAGAAAGATGACTCATGGTTAATATGCACAGATAGACGGACTACACGCAGTGTGCAATTGTCGTAGTTTTGTGAGCAACATAAGCTTTCACTTAATAAATTTCTAACTTTCGATGAATTTTTAACGTGATATAAAACAAACTACGATACTGCAGTTCCAGTTCAGCGATGGGCGCATCTAACCCTCGAAACTTATAGTAAATGTGTCTTTAGAGCCAATAGGACGTCCAAATAAATATTTTTCATTTTATATTGATAAATTACGAACGAAATTTGGTTACTTGTCTTCTTACATGGATTAATAGTATGTATGGTCATGAAACAATTTTTAAACAATATGAGTACTGTAACATGCTTAAAAAATTTGAAGGAAATTATGCCATCCTAAAAGAGTTAAAACAACAAATAAAGCACGAAAACTTAAAATTATCCCAGTATTTTTTGACTACGTGGTATCAGAATGTCAATTGAAATGGCAATACATTTACTTTTATTTGATTTATACATACCTTAATATTGAATCGCCTGTTTCCTTTTCAATTTTAGACTGTGCAGATTTCCAGTTCAGCTGTGCTACGGGTCCAGGGGCTTCTTCTGTGTACAGATAACTATGTAATATGTGATGGAGTAGATGATTGTACTGATAACTTTGACGAAGAGAACTGCAGACTAGTGTGATCTGTACAAGAACCATGTATACTGCTCGACCTAAAAAATAGTCCGATTTTCAGTTTTATACTAGTATGTAGATATTTGAAAATAAACCAAGTAAATCGAGCATCGCAGACTCTCGTTGTATTCTTTTATACGTCATTCTTATGAACTGACTTTATTAAAAAAAGCTTTGACCAACTACATGTCATTTCGTTAATTATACAATAATATATTAACATATATGGCTACATCCAGACATTTTAGACATGAAAGCGTCAAAATTTGTGTCTTCTGGGGTGTCAATGAGACATAAAGGCAACCAATCAAATTGTTTTCCGATAGTCAATAGTCGATTGATTTTCAATAGGTTTCATACTTTGATGGTAATAAAGACCTTTACCAAGTGAATCCAAATTTCATCAGAAATTGTGCCTTATAGTTCTACGGGTTTCGACAATCAAAGGCAATAACTCATATCATATACTGAATTTGTTCATTTTCGAGAAGATTCTTCCAGGCATTTTAGGTTGTAACATTGCGATTAAGTAATAGTACGAAAGCACAGGCACAGGAATGTTGGCGTAACCTATAATATAGAAAGTATTGTTTGTGCAGTTAGTTTAAATATATGAAATGAAAATTCAGAATCTTCAGAAATTGAAATATAAAAGAAGAATACTGGTTCCCACGGGAACATTAATAACCGTGAAAATTATAATAAACATTTTTTTACTGGTGAAAATGGGGAATTTTTTCTATGATGCTAAACAAGTTTCGTCAATATCCAAATCGCGCCTTCTGGATATTTTACGAAAATTTCGAAACGGACCAACAGACATGGGTGACGTCAACATAGGCTCAACATTTGAAGTAGGCGTATAAAGATATAACAATATTATGTCATTTATTGATTTTTGTTATTTACAGTTTACATCTTCGTCTAGAACATCAAAAGTCATTATTGCATTCGCAATTAGTAAACAAAATCAATTGAGTGTTAATCAGATATGTAGTTCTTTGGTATCTCTCGTTAGTGTTTGAAGGAGATCTGTTTTTATGAGGCGAGCTTAGGAAACTTTTATGACAATGAATTGTTATAAATTACTTACATTGTTTTTCTTGATACTCTCTGGTGTTGTGTCTACACAGAATTTCAAATCTGATTTTTTTGTTTTGTATGAAATTGATAAACGTTATGGTGGATATAGTAATGTAACATTTGTAAAGACTTTGACAAAGTGTGCACTAATTAGTTTCATAGATGGCTGTGCATCATTTGCTTATCATAAACAACGTCAACAATGCTACCTATATGATGCTTGGCCTTGTAACTCGACAACAACTGACAAAGGAATAGCAATATATGTTGTTCTTGAAGGTAGTATTTTATTTTATCTTTACTTTCTCATTCGTCTTTTCATACTATATTGAATAATATGGTACAGATTTTAGAACAGTGCCAGAGGGGGGAAGGGGGGGGGGGGGGGGGGTGTGGTTGAGGAGGTGTAACTGAGTGAGGTGATCTACCACTGAAATTCGCATACAGAAAATGAGAAAATCGTGAAAGAGAATTGGGCGCAAACGTCTAATTGAACTATCCCGATATGATTTTTTATCCATTCATGCTTAATCGCTGAATACAATTCTGGAGTGAAATACGTTTCGAAAGATTTAGAAGAACTCTTCAGTGGAGGAGGGATCTCATTAGGGTCGAGAAGCACTGTTTTAGAAGGTATCAGCGTTCATACAAAATTATGACGAGGAGTTCGAGATTTCAACATTGTTTCTTGTTTTTATGGATGTTTTTGTTGACTTTATATTGTTATGATTTTCATTGAAAAAGGTTATGAATTGCAACAATTGATTCTTTTTCTTCTCTTTTCTTCCTTAAATGTTATTCCTATCCCATAATATATCCCATGCAATAGTGATTTACTCTCAAAAGTAACCATTGTACATTTACTTGCTTGAAAGTCACTATATCAGTTAATCAGGCCTCTACAGACCCAGAACATTTAACTTGGTTGTTTTCATTGAAATTTTGACTGGGTGGTAATTAGAGGCCAATTAAAACAATCCCAGCTTCGTTTTTGTTTTTTATCATCTGGAACGCCTTATATGGGATGTCCACATATGTGGACATTGGGTCTTCGTTAGTACATTTTACCAATTAACGCACGAATAGTTAATGTAAAGATTCATTTTATGTTGTAAATACACAATCACAATTTTTTAACATGATATTTCATAAAATTAAAAATTCAAATATATATTATCTGTTAACGTATGATAAAATAACATGCAACAGCTTTGGCACTTAAATAACAAGTTAATCTCGATTTGGTTTTGAATGAGGTTAACACTTGTGGGATACTGTCATGTATGAAACATTCGAAAGCAATTGCGATCGCTTTGGACACAGAGAAAAAGGTTACACCTAACACACCGAACACGAGTTGCTTGTGCATCCAGGATAACGGCATCGTGATGCACTTTTGAGGGCCACAGCTTGTGGCAAGTGTTTAGCACATGCTTTGCGATAATAATCAATGGGAAGGACAACCCGTTTCACAATAGGTTCATAATCTGAATCATCGGAAGACGTTTCATCTTCACGAGATGCAGCCAGTAGTTGTTCTGCAAGACAAAGTTTGAATTCCAAAAATTCAAGTTTGTGTTTTCCTAAGAGACTGTTCCTCAGTTTATCATTTCGATATGCTATCCAACAGTTAACCATCACAACATCAATGAAATGAAAAATTGTTCTGATCGTCCACTTACGTGATTTCGCTGCTAATCGATAAAACGAAATCATCCTATCATGAAGATCGACCCCACCCATTTTATCATTGTAAGATTTTACGATAGCAGGTCGATTAACCGTGATCTACTTTCCATCCTTTTTGGACCAGCGTTGACACGTGTCTTCTGGAATGGCGCCATAAGCAGAGGAAGCAAATAATACAGGTTTATTGTCAAACAAATTCACAATTCAATTCGGCATCTTTAAAGCACCCATGAGAATACTGATACCGGTAAATTTTTTAAGTTCAAGCTGATTAGCGTTAAGTTCTTTGCCGGAATTTTGAACATACATAACATTCGTACAATGAGCCATATTTGCGAAAACATTTTCATCGATGTACTGTTCAAAATAATCAATTGGTGTCAAATTATCATTTTGAACTTCGCCCTCTACATAAGGTGCCAAATTCGGTTTAAATTTATCTGTATGTGTCCATGGTTGTCGCAATATTTCTCTATTATTCACACCCTCATCATCGTCTGAGTTATTTATTCCACCATCTTCGTCTTCAGACTGATTATCGATAGTGTCAACTGGATCTTCGAGATAGTTTGGATCATTATCATCTGACAGCTCCAAATCAGAATCATTATCATCTAGTCCACATATGTGGACATTTGGATAAATGATCTTGAATTTTTTTTCAATTTTGTTTATTTTCAAACACTTGTTATATATAGATTGGCTGGGTAATATTGCTATGAAAAAACACTAATTCGGTATAATTCATTTTGCTTTAACTGATCAGAATCAAAACTTACCTCGACTAGGCTTGACCTTCTGAAAACATGTGGCTTCGGCCATCTTGTCAGGAGTCACATGACCACATGAAGGGGAGGTAACTCCCAATCATTATGTTGCCTGATACAGTAAATCATATGAAATGATGTTTAAGAGGTAAATTAACGAATAAAATGATTCTCCGAGGAAAGATTACGCAATATTTGAAAAACTATGAATGTCCACATATGTGGACATAGGGTCTGTAGAGGGTAACATCCCAAAACCAACCAAAATTTTACTGTTAAAATTCTGTAACCTTATATACTCTATTTACAGAAGATATATCAACGAATATCGCTTTCCACAAACCAACTGAGATGAGTAGTCTACTGGAAGCTCCATATTTTTCCTGTAGAGGAGTTGATGGTATTTTTACAAATGATTCTATTATGCACACTGTTGATGCTACTACAGAATGGTGGTGTGTTGATTTGGAGAAGACATGCAACTTTAGAGAGATAATTCTGTATAATAGAAATGGTTCACAGGGTAAGTAGTGCTGGTTTAAAAAGCTTTATGTGCTTTATTATTTGGTGTTTGTAATAAATAATTCAAGTTCTCTCGAGAATGGTAAATGGAGCAGAAAAGCTTGGGAATTTGAAGAGCTGAAACCAGGTTAAAAAAGCTAAAGATAGAAATCAAGATAATCTAGTCACATGTTCGAATAAATAATTATCAGCAAAACCGAGTTGAAAAGACAGATGGTAAGCCAGAAATGGAAAATTGAAAACTATGATTCGTGTTACTCGGAGTTTCACTCTATGCGATCTTCAAAATCAAACGTTAAACGACACATGATTCAAGTTCTGTTATCGAATTACCTTCCTCATGGAAAATCGTGTGGCCGGATAATCTTTACTAGGTGACTGATCAGTCGTGGAAATCAATATTTATTAATTAATAAGAACACCTCTACTTTCTAGTCATATTAATATTACCCTTCCGATATTGAAGTGATTACGTCATAAAGAATTCAGTGTCTGATGCATTTTTTGACATCAAAAATATGAAAATAGCACCGAACTCTCAGAGCACATAATCTTAAACTGAACAATAATAATTACAAAATTTCCGGGGTTAAAACTCTGAATAACGACACATGATTCAAGTTTTGTTTTGATATTTCTATGAAAAGACACGTACAGAATTACTTTCCTCATGGAAAATCGTAAGACCGGGCAATCTTTACAAGGTGACTGATCAATCTTGGAAATCAATATGTGATTATTAATTAATAAGAACACCTCTGCTTTCTAGTCATATTAATATTGCCCTTCCAATATTGAAGATATTACAATTACAAATTCAAAGTCTGACGCATGCTTTCTAAGGCCACGTTTCCACCAAGCTTCTGTGTTGGCGTCACTGTCTGCGTTCAAATCCGCGTTCGAGTGTTTCTACCAAGCAATCAGGTCTGTGCGTTTTTGAAGATTACCCAGAGACCGGAACATGTATTCCGTATTTAAAATGAATATGAAATTCGGCCTATATGGTGTTACGTGCACTCATTGGACTATAGGCTTACTCAAAATCAATAGGCCTAGTTTGTTACCGTTCTCTTTAGCACCGAGCTGCTGCTTTATGGATTTCCAGAGGTTTTCTTTTACGTCTATGTCACTGTAGTCACGTGTAGATTTATCGTACAGTGCAGGCAGCCTCTGAACAGCTTCTATACGCTTGTCTGTGTCTGAATCGCCCATTTTTCAGCTGAAATCAACATATACCACCACATGTTTTGATGAAAACGACCTTGGGTGACGACATTGATGAAGTCACATTCTAAATATGGTACAAAATCGCGATTTGAAATTGTGTGCTGGAGCTTTGGCTGCGTCCGAAGCTAGATACGACGCTGACGTGAACGCCTGGTCGAAACACTTGTATACCAGAACATAGAACTAATTCAAACGTGACCGCTGACGCCAACGCTGACTCAGAAGCTCTGTGGAAACGTTGCCTAACCTGGAGGTCCGGGATTCAATCCCGTCATAGGTCGAGATAATACAGAGGCCCGTGTGCTACAGACTGTACACATTAAAGATCTCTCAACATTCAGAAATCGAAAAAAGAACAGGCTAATGGCACTGGCAAAATTTCCCACATTGCACCCTGCATCGCGTTAACCGTACTCATTAGCCCACTTGGTGCAGAAAAGTAGGACGTAAAACTCCATTCATTTCATTTTCTACTTTTAGTAGTAGTATTCAGAAAGAAGAAACTTTATACAAATACAATGAATAAGAATTGGACAGTACACGGTAGTACACAATCGGGTGACAAATACCCATCCTATGTGAACGCCTTTACTTTATCAAACTCATATCTCAGACATATTAGAGGCGAAAGTAATCCACAATCTTATTATGTAAATACATAATTATTGTTTATACAAAATAAGGACAATATTCTCCTACATTCACGTTTTAAACAGATACTTGATTTATATATTGGTCAGGTCTCCGATGATGATTCCTACTTAAATTATTTTGCTTCTAAGTTTGTCTTGAATATTGATGACAGCCATGGATGAGTGTGATTTGCGTTGAATAATTAGTATCTTTGTCGACTTTTCGTTTAAAAAAAGAATTCAGTTTTTGCCAAATCAAATTAAAAAAATTAAAAAATTGCAAGACTTTTCATTTTTCAGGAAACCGGGTTGTTGTTTTGTTAATTTACTTCTTGATTTATATTTTGTAGATATTTCTAATCGAATGATTGGCTTCGAATTACGAATTAGTACGAGTGGAAAGTGTGACGAAACAACATTTAATAGTACATCACTTTGCTACAAAGATCAACAACTAACAGGACAGCTTGTGTACAACATAACAGATTGTAACCAAGTACCATCAATCCAGTTTTTATCAAGATTAATCTTTATCAGTCCGAAGCAAAATGAATTTATTAATTTTAGGGAGTTAGTTGTTAGAATTTAACCTATCCTTTGTAAAACTTAGATAATCTCAAAAGAATGATCCAAATCAGCAGAATTCAATTTGTTGTGCATTTTAAGTTTTATGAGTTATTATGATCGTTATTTTATTTGAGCTGAGATGTTTTAAATAAAAAAAATGGTTTGTTTCAATTTAGTAGTATATGTCGTTTCGGATATGACGCCTTTCACTTCTGCGCATGCGCAGCTTTTTCAATGCGTCATATCCGAAAAGACACAACTGTTAAAATGTATTATAACAGACTCCCCAAACTGCTAAAATGTATTATAACAGATTCCTCCAAACTGCTAAAAATGTACTATAACAGACTCCTCCAAACTGTATTATAACAGACTCCATATAAATTACCCAACCACAGACAAGAATCACTATAATAATACAGTATAAAATAACCACATTAAAAAAATAAAAATGTCTTTAATTTTAAAACACGAACAAAAAAATTCGAAGGAGACGGTTTCTTCTGTGCGCTAACATCTCTCATCCCCAAACAGGCCAACTTTGTCTCAAACAACAAATTTCCTCAGGAGAAGATATAAGCGATGCAGTGAAAAGATTTAACAAGTTGAAAGAATTACAACATATAAGAGAAATGCGAAATAAAAACCTCAACTGATTAATGGGAGGTAACACTGTTTTTTGTTTATACACAGTTAGTTGTCTAGTGTATTATTGATTTAATGCCTAGTAACAATCACACCTCTATTGTTTTCACGCAATAATTAACATATCACGCGTGCAACGTCAGCACAGACAGTCTAGACTCTCAACTGTTAGCCATGTTTTCGTTGAAGATTAGGACTTTAATCATACAAATATCAAGGTATGTTCTTTTTTGTTTGATTTAATCATAAGACGACAGGGTGGAATTAAGATTAATTTGCTGTTTATTCAAAATATCAATTTTTTTGTTTTATTCCAGTTTAATAGATGCCAACATTTCATATCACGAAGAATATTTAAACCATCGGTAAGGGGATAGAAAAAGGCCAAGAATTTTTACCAAACTCTGTGACAAATATCCAAGGTTTCAAAATTGTTGATATAGATTTTCGAAAAATAGAGCAAAGGATGACGAGCGATCCTAATAAGAGCGGTCATAGTTATCTCCCGTCTTACACTATTGGCAGTCATAATTTAAATGTCATGACCGCTCTTATTCGGATCGCTCGTGACCTCATTTTTCAAACCGCTCTTATTAGGATCGGGCGTATTAAAATTATATGGTGTTTATTTCATTATTGAACAAATATGTCTTTAATAAATGTCCAACCTCCTAAAACGTATTTCGTTGCGGGAGACATTCAAAAGTCATTGGGTTCTCTTCCTGGATTTCCATGGGCAAAATATCCCGGAGAAAAACATCTCCCAGGGCACAATTATACAGATCCAGGCACGAGATTAGATCTGCGTTTAGACGAAAATGATAATCCCAAACCAGGGGAAGGACCCGTTAATAGAGTTGACGCAACAGCGCTCAAACACGACATACTGTACAGAAACAAAGACATAACCTTCAGACACCAAGCAGACAAACGAATGATAGACGCACTTGAAAATATTCCCAATCCCACTTTCAAAGAGAAATTACAAAGGGCTCTTATCATAAAACTCTTGAAGGCAAAATTGAAATTGGGTATGGGCATAGCAGACGAGATTCACAAAAAATTTCGAAAAAACAAACATTACCTCAAAGTCAAAGTTTTTGATGAAATTTGGTCAGCCGATTTAATCAACATGCCAGTCGAAAGAGGGTACAAGTATTGTTTGACGGTGATCGACATATACACGAGATACGCTTGGGTCTTTCCCTTGAAAAACAAATCGGGTCTGACTGTCAAACAAGCATTCGAAACCATAATGAAACAATCCGACAGACGACCCCTAAAGTTGTGGGTTGATAAAGGAAGCGAATTCTACAACAGAAATGTGAAATCTCTGGGGTTTGAAATTTACAGCACGCATAACGAAGGTAAGGCTGTAGTGATAGAACGATTCAACAGGACTCTTAAAAGCAAATTATTCAAGAAATTCACGGAATTGAAATCTCAAAAATGGCTTAAAATATTACCAGTTGTTGTCGACGAATACAATAACAAAATACATTCGTCTATAGGTGTGACGCCAACGCAAGCCTCGAATAACCCTAATATCATAAAATCCATCAACACTCGAAACAACTTTGAAAACGAGATTAGCATTTTGAATATTAAACCCAAATTCAAAGTTGGAGATCGAGTTCGTATATTTAAATATAAATCATTGTTTCAGAAAGGTTACGTTGGGTATTGGACTAACGAGATATTCATCGTTGATAAAATAAATAGCACATCACCTCCCACGTATGAATTGATCGATCAAGACAAAGAACAAATCATAGGAAGGTTTTATCAAAATGAACTTCAAAAAACTGACTTTTAAAAATGAATCTCGAAAATGAAGATTTAGATGAAAGATTAAGAAATTTAGATGTCGACAAATTTAAATGTAAATTTATCTTCAAAATATTATTGAATGTGTTTTATCAGAATGTTATACAAGTTTTTTCAAACACAAACTACGTATATATTTCGTCAATTGGGTCATCACCAATACTTACCGCATACTTCGAAAAACATAACACCTCAAAAAACTGACTTTTAAAAATGAATGCGTTTCTCGATAAATACGGAAAAGACACGGAAAAGACCACAAACTTTCAACTTGTGAAATGGGCCAAGGAATTGAACGTCTCGCCGTTTTATTATTGCATGCGAGATGAAATTGATGAACTGAAATACAAGAAAGGTAAATTTTACGCCATCACAAACATTCACACGTCGGATCAAAAAGGAGTTCATCACTCTGCTTTACACAAAGATTCTTTGAATAACTTTTATTTCTTTGATTCTTTCGGTCTAGAACCGACAGAAGAGATAACGAAATTGACTAGAAAACCAATCAAATGTTCTACGTTTCAAATTCAAATGCCAGGACAAAAGCTGTGTGGACAGCTGTCGCTTTGGGTTTTATATCGGTTGAGTTTGGGAGAAAAGTTTGAAGAAATTATAATAAATTTTAACTCAATAAAAATGGCTAACAAGTTTGGATTAGGGTCTTTACCTCTAGAATCTAAAAATCCCATAACGGCGTTTATAAACAAAGCGAAACCTTTTTTCGTGGATCTAATCGGAGACACCTTACAAGGGGATATCGATATAAACAATTTCAAAATAACTAATTTAAAGTTTCTAGGAAACGATAACGATGCCATGAACATGAAATATTTACTGGATCAAATTCAAATAGATAAGGACCATGTTGAAAATAGAATAACTGACGTGAAAAGATACCTCAGACGACATATTAAAAATCTTGTGAACGAAACCAAACTACAACAAGAGTTAACGAGTTTGAAACGTCTTATTCAAGTGGATAAAACAAGTCAGTTGCAAAATTTAATATATAAATTAGACGATAAGATTACGAAGGTAAAAATAGACGTCCAACGTTTAATAGATAACCCAAATGTAAACGAGGATAGATTGAAACGAAAACTAACCGCTTTGGAAAGAAAACTTGGCGAATTGCTAGCAGAACTAGACAAGACCGCGGACAAAACCGAGTTACAGTATCCAATTTGAACGAAAAGATCGCAAAGCAAAAATCAGATGTTCAAGATATAATTAACACACTTCCCATTGACAAAGATACGTTGAAACGACAATTGACTGCTTTGGATGCTAAAATCACGGACGAATTAGAAAAAGAAGTGGGTGTGATTAAAAACTTTCTTCAAAATAAATTTCGAGATGATATGAAAAATTACATTAAAGAACAGGTCAATCTTTTAATATCTAGAATTCATGACGATTTTTTGAGACAAGAGAGAAAGTTGACCAAATTAGAAGCTATTGTCACGGACAAATCGTATTATTTCAATCTTCTATTCGAAACTGACACTCCCTTCGATGGAAAAGACCAAATTTATAAATCAAACAAATACGGATTCAAAGCAGAAATAAAAGTAGCTCCTCGCGTAGACGGAGAACCTAAAAACGTATTCGATATCGGCGAAACGGAAGCGTTTACTTTTCGAGGTAATTGTCTGATTGAAATAGATTTTCCCATGAAGGTTAAAGTCAATAAAATAGTCTTCAAACAAACCGGTAAGGCCGTCAAACATATTTCATTATTCAATGATGGTAATTTGGAAGAGAATATAGAAAATGATAAGGATATCATTGGAATCAAAGATTTAGATATGATATTGGAGACAGAAAATCCACCATCAACCAACATTGTCAAAATTCCACGACGCTTACACGTACACGGATCAATAGAATCGATCAGTCACGAGTTTTTACGAACAACAGACTTTGAATACGTAAAACTGTATTTCGCTTTAGGTGAAAAATACACCTCGGTCGATGTTCATAAAAGTCAACAAGAAAGAGAGTTTATAGTGCATTTATCGTTTGCCGAAGGTTCCGACACCATCTTTGAAGGTGGTGGTTTTATTTTTAGAGCCAAGATAAACATCGAAAAAGAAAAAATGAAATATTCCTATCATCTTAAAGAGGACCATACGAAAAAAGAAATGTCTTTACTTTTAATACCCGCAAATATAATAATGCTAGGCCAAACAAGCACGCTCTATACGATATTCCGTGGTTCTTTTTATCGGAAATTCACTTAATTTAACGACTTAAAAAATGGAACTCGAAAGCAGACAACAATACATGATAGACAAACAAGAAGAGTTGAAAATGAAGTTAAGACAGTACAATACATGCAGGAAAACATGGAGTAGAATCGATTCTGTTTTCAAAACAGCGAGTGTAGTTCTAACGATAGGAACAACACTTGCAACGGCCGTGACTGGTGGATTAATGGTTCCTGTACTTGTCCCAACTGTATTAGCCACAATTACTGTTATTCAAACTTCATCTTGTGGCTTGATTGCTATAGGTTTCACGAGCAAAAAGAAAGCTCATTATAAAAAGAAAACGGATATCTTGAATATGTATCTTAATCAATTGTACATCTTTTCCGAAAGATCGAGAGAAGACAAGAACATAACAGTTGAAGAATTAGAAGAATTTTTGACAAATTCCATACAGAAATATCAGCGGTCAAAATAAAGAAATAATCAAAAATATATACTTAAAAATATGAATAAAATCGAACACGATGAAACATTGATAGAAAACGTCCCATTTTCCGATGTTATCAAGGCTGTTTCCAATAAATTTAAAACATTCAAAGGACAAATTAAAATAGATGGAGAGATAGTCGAGGAAGGGAATCATAGGCAATACATGTCACTCCTCGCTTTCAATACCAAAACTTTTCAGAACATCTTTTCAAATATGGATTTTAAATCCGATGCTTCCGATTGGTATTTTACAGGAAAAATAATTTTAATGAAAGACAATTTCCAAGAAATCAAAAGATCGAGAGTTGGCTGAGGAGGAACTGATCTACTTAAAAAGATAAATGAATACGAAGGTGAAAATTGTTACATACCTACAGATGGTCACTGTTTTATCAAATGCGTCAATCGTGTTTTGAACAAAGATTTAAAGTGTAAATTTCAAGAATACATCAACGGGTTTTCAAAAGCAAATAGAAAAGGAGTGATGACTTGTGCTAGAATGAAGGAATTCAACAAGACATTCAACACTTCGTTTCAAATTTATAATCCCCAAAACAGACATTTACATCCCAGAGACGTTCACGATGAATTAGATTGGGTTTTTTACTTACACAACTCGCATTTCTGTTTGATTAGAAGAAGCCAAAAAAGTTTGGGAATTCAAGAAATAGAAGACAATTACGAACAGGTGTGGAAAACGTGTAGAGACCATAACGCAGTAACACAGGTTTCACCTCTCAAACTAAACGTGTTTTCCAGTATGAGTGATGATGCGTTATTCGCTTGGGATTGCGAAACGTATTCAGAAAAAGACACGCGAAGAGCAATTCCGTATTGTTGCACTCTGGTCAATTTGGAAAAACTAAGAAAAATAAGACAGAATAAAACGTCCAACAAATGACATTCCAAAAGAATATTACGACAAACTAATGACCAACGTTGTTGAAACATTTGTGGGTCTAGACTGCATAGATCAAATGAAATATTTAGGTCAATATGATAGAAAGAGATTAGTATTAATTTCTCACAACGGCAGTGGTTCGACAACTGGATCGTGCTTAAAAACACGTCAAAGTTGTCAAAGTGTCCACTGATAAAGCAGATGGGTATTTTGTCTTTACCTATGTCTAATCCTTTCACCGATAAAGATTTACAGAAAAAAACAACGAGCGATAAAAACTATTTGCAAAATATCAGTTTCACGTGTTCCTACCAACATGAAAAATCTAGTTTGGCTGCATGGGGAAATTCGTCCAATCTTCCCGCGAATTTGAGAAAGATTGCCGACGTAGATATCGCTAAATACACCCAAGACAACTGGGAGGAATTGAGAGACGAATGGGAACCCTATGCAAAAAGGCATACCCTATGTCCTGGAGCTTGTTTGATAAAATATAACCAAGTCATGAAAGAAGTTGTAAACCAGAATATATCCAATAATCTAACGGCTCCATCTTTATCTTTAAAGGGTTGGTATTATTTATATCATTACGATAAAGAAATGGTTGAAGAAGAATGGTATGAAACTACTAGAATGGTTCCGAAACATACCGAAAAAGAAAACGTAGAAAAAGTTTATTCGCACACTAATCCTTTTATAAGAAATTTTATCAGACGATCTATTAAAGGAGGAAGAGTTTCGGCAAATAGAAAATCATTTGAAACGAACAAAATGGACGAAATTTGTAACGTATTAAAGGTATATATTTCACAAAGTGACACAAAAAGTAATAACATAATTGATTTATTCAAAGAATACAGCGCAAGCACAAAAGACAAAACGGAGGTTCATTCGAGACTTAAAAAAATAAACTGTACTAAACTAATGGCATTTGATGCTAACGGTTTATACGCAAATTCAGACCTAGAACAGCTATTGTAACAGTGTGGTTTGAGTATCCCAAAAACATGTTCTTCCAACCGATACCAGCTAAAGATAAAATCACTTCACGAATAA